TGTGGGAAGGGTTGACACTTGTGTGATGCAGGGCATCCTACCTGCTGGAGCTGTGGGAAGACTTCAGAGACTTAGCAGAGATGATGTTTAGGGAAAGGATAGCATCAACTGCAGCTTCATCTACCTCAGGTTTATTCCTAATCCGACCTAAAAGAAGGGATAAAGAAACCAGAAGATGAGCACATTAAAAAATAAGGCATAACTTTGTTAAATCAAAAGGTCTGATGGCACACGCCTATCATTTTAACTACTTAGCAGAAGGACCACAAGTTCAAGGCCAGCCTGGGTAGCTTAGTGACATATAGTCTTTAAAAAAAAAAAAGTATGAGGGAGGAGCTTAGTGGCAGAACATATGCAAGACCCCTGGTTCAATCGTTAGTACTATCTTAGTGGAAGAGTGTTTGCTTAGCATGCCTGCATGCATATTCTCTCTCTCTAACAGTCTCTCTCTGCTAGGTAATCGTTCTTCTCCTGAGCCACAACTCCAGCACTCAAGAGAGCTTCAAAAATCTTGCCATGGTGTCACACACTTTAGTCCCAGCACTTGGGAGGCAGAGGCAGGTAGATTTATGAGTTCAAGACCAGCCTGGTCTACAGAGTGAGTTCCAGGACAGCCAGGGCTACACGGAGAAACCCTGTCTTAACCCTCCTTCCCTCCACCAAGAGAAAGAGCTTCAAACTCAAGGTGTTTATTTTTTCCACTTTTCATTCTCCAGTTGTGCATACCTCTCCCGTACTCAGCACTGCATGATGTCATTTCTAAAAGGCCAGCCTCCCTCAGCTGAATGTACTCACCTACCACCAGTTCACGAACATCTTTCCAGTGGAGCTCACTGCCCTTCTCGTGGATAATAGTCACTGTGATCCGTCGCTGGATGCCCTGGGTAATGGAACAAGATTCCAGTTTAGAAGAACATGTTAGGAAATGAACGAACCCGGTGCTGATCTGGTTTTAAGAGATGCCTTGTAGCTTCACACCTGTAATCACAGGATGAAGCTTGAGGATGAATTCCTACAACCTGGGAAAGAGACAGAGAAAGAAAGAGAGGTGGGGCTGGTCTGGGAAAGACAGACAGACAACACACATACAAAGGTGGGGAGACAGAGACAGACCATCAGACAGATGACTGAGACCCTGTAATATGCTCTAAGGACACAGAGCTCCCTGCAGCATGGACACCTGGACAAGACGTACTTTTGAGCATTGCCTGAATTTTTTTTTTAAAGACTCAATTTTGCTATATAGCACAAACTGGCCAGGAATTACTAAGAAGCCTGGTGTTGAGTTCATAATCCTCCTGCCTCTGCCTCCTGAATGCTGGGATTATAAATGTGTAGTAACACACTAGACTTTGAACATTATCCTACCAAATGAGTAGTGTACATTTAAAAAGCATACTTTTAATCCATTCAGACGTCCAAAATTAACCTCATGAAGAGCTCCTGGCTGTGCTTGGTGGCACATGCCTGTAATCCAAGTACTTATAAGACCGAGGCAGGAGGATCCCATAAATTCAAGAACCTAGCCTACTCATGAAGACTCTGTTACAAAAATACAGTGTCAAAGACACAGCTCAGTGGTAGAATACTTGCCTTGTATGAAAAGGGCTCCAGATTTAGTGGCCTATTCAGCCAAAACCATAACAAGACAAAAAAAAGCAAATCAAAAAACCTCCACTGCAGGGGTTGGAGGGAAGGCTCAGAAGAGCACTGACTGCTCTTCTAGAGGTTCTGAGTTTAATTCTCAGCAACCACGTGGTGGCTCACAACCATCTGTAATGAGATCTGATGCCCTCTTCTGGCCTGCAGACATATATTCAGGCAGAACACTGTATACATAATAAACAGACCAATTAAAAACAAAACAGCCCATTGCCAGGCTATGGTGGCTCAGATCTGCTAACCCAGTGATCAAGAAGCTGAGGCAAGAGAACAAAAGAATCGCCTTGGGAATTGGAGGCCAGCTGGAGGACAGAGTAAGAATCTGTCTCGAATGAATTAATAACACAAAACTAAAAGACTGACAGTGAGACACAAGCTATACACTATCCTATGAGAGCAACACAAACGGTAGTAACTGAACTCCATTGTTTCCACACACTGATGCAATGTGTTCTGACCACATGCAACTACCACTGCCTCCCTCCCAACTCTGCCTAATGATCCCACCTTGTTACCTTCCCAGCTTCACATCCTTTCTTGTTGACACCCACCACCCAATTAGTGCTCAACAGTGTGGGCTGTGGGGCCATCCCATGGGGCATATAGGACAACTTACCTGTATCCATATTCCTGGATAAAGGAGAGAGACCTCCGTAGTAATCACTAACTAAGAGTGACTCTGTCAAGGACCAGGCCTTGGAGGGCCTCCCCCAGACCCTTGTTCACAACAGCTATTCTAAAATATATTTATGCATATTTTTGCCTAATTAAATAATTTGAAGTGGGAAGATCAACTTCTTTGAGGTGGGAACATACACCTTTAATCTCTTTAATCTAGATTTTTTTTTTTTTTTTTTTTGTTTTCAAGACAGGATTTCTTTGTGTAGCATTGGCTATCCTGAAACTAACTCTGTAGACCAGCCTGACTCTGCCTCCCAAATGCTGGGATTAATGGCATTTATCACTATCAGTCAGCTAATTCAGATCTTCAGAAGCGGGAAGACCCATCTGTAATCTGGGCAATACTTTCTATAGAAGAACAGAGAAAAAGGAACCCTTGATCTCTGCCTGCTTGTTCTTGTCCTCCCTAGAAAGTCCATTCCTTCATAGACATTACAGCCTACTTCTTGTGGACCTCAGAGTATGCTGAAGACACGCACACGCACACACATACATACATACACATATATATATGTATATATACATGTATATGTATACATATATGTGTGTGTGCGTGTGTGTGTGTGTGTGTATTTATAATATTATTGGGGAGGGGGGAACTGATTCTATAAGTTCTGTTACTCTACAAAACTCTGACTAATATAGAAATAGTATTTGATGTTTTGCATTCAATTCCCAGCTATTTCCTACCCCGATTTAAAAAAAAAAAAAAAAGGAACAAAACAAAAATGTCCTCCTACATTCTCCTCTCCAAATGGAGAAGACAAACTGAGAAATCTGTTGTGTCTCGGACATCAGTACCTGGTGCAGCAAAAATGTCCCCTGGCAAGGCAAGCCTGCTGTGTGGTCAACCACAGCTGGAATATACCTATAAAATAAACCACAAAAGACAGAAGTTAGGACTGCTTCACCTGCCAAGCCTGCCTGGGTTGTAGCCAAGGGAAATCTCTTGTTCTACACTCTGCTCCACGGTATGACCCCGTGCAGGCACGTCGTCTCAGAGCCACAGGTACACATCTGTGTCTCAGAGTCTCTGCCTGACCGTACTGCGAAAAGAACAGTGACTTCTTTGTTCCATCTCTGTCTATTGTATAATAATTCAGTAAATAATGGATGTTACAGAACTGAGTGGAAATAAGAAATGGATAATTTCCAATTATAACTATAAAGCTCCAGAAAGCAATTATTTCAAAAGACCATCACTTAACAACTTCTTCATAATGGAAGCTAAGATAACATTGCAGATCTGCCTGTGGAAAGTCACATTCTTCAGACGCGTGTCACCTGAGTTGCTACAGAACTCTATTTGACATGGGGTCCTAAGCACAGCAGACACTAACAGTTAACGGTGCTGCTCATCACTGATGATGGCTCATGGCATGATACACAGAGGAACACTACAGTAACAGTTAGTCCCTAATCTGGGCTAAGGGATGTAGCTGCTTGACTGCTTCAGAAGTAGATTCTCGTGTGTGTGTGTGTGTGTGTGTCTTAAAGATGTATTTATTTTATGTATATGAGTATATTTTTTCAGTCATCAGACACAGAAGAGGGCATCAGATCCCATTACAGATGGTTGTGAGCCACCATGTGGTTGCTGGGAATTGAACTCAGGACCTCTGGAAGAGCAGTCAGTGCTCTAAACCACTGAGCCATCTCTCCAGCCCCTCTTTTGTGTTCTTCTAAAGGCATTTCAGAAACAACTACAAACAATAATTGCATTAATTATTTACTCTAACACAGCTCATAAAGACAAGGAAGCTTATGTGGATCCTGTTAATTTAGGAAAGTGGCTCTATTTTAGAGGCCATGACTAAAAGTTTCACATAGGCACAGGCCAAAGGTCCTGCAAAATATCCTACAATGCCATGGTGGTCTCAAACACTGGCAAGGTGGAAATTTTTAATCCAGGTATTAATTTTTAATAAAATAAAATCTTAATCCACTGACCTCATTGAGATTAGTATTCTAATTTTAAAAGATTGCATTATTTATTCATTTGTTTGTGTATTTGTGTGTGACTACCATGGCATATGTGTGAGAAGGACAATCTGTAGTAGTTGGTTTTCACCTTCCACGCATATGTTCCAGGGATCAAATTAAGACTGTCAGGCTTGGCAGCTGGTGCCCAGATGTGTTGGACCTCTCACCAGTCCCCAGTAACCTCCATCTGAACCTGAAGCATGTTCTTACAATCTGTTCACCAATCTCCGTAGAACCACCACGCTGTCATCTTCCCTCACAACCAGGTACATCTGGTATCCATCACATTGCTGTTGCTAAGCAATCCTACTAGATGGCCTTTGGCAAACACCTTACTCAGAGATAAGTAGTAAGGCACCCAAACTCAATCCCAAAGAAAAATTCGACAAGATAATGATGCAAGAACCCCTATAGGCTCAAAACTTTATCTGTAATTCTGAAACACTTTACTGAAAAATGTATTTAAAATTGGACTTACTCTCCAGTAGGCTCCAGTTCACTGATCTCGAACCAAACCAGAAGGTCGTACTTGCTCATGCTTTGCCCAAGGCTGGTTTTGTTCATAGTGTTTAACTTAGTAGCTGGAACTTTAAAAAAGTTTTTATAACATGTCAAAATCTGTTCCTAGTTTACTCAACAAAAGTATAAGCATCTTTAATGTCAGTCTTTAGGAGGACAGATGTGAAAGATCCAGAGAAAGTTCAACACTTAATGAATCAGTGCACTAAGGTCCTCTTTTTCAAAACACTGTTTCTAAACATGAGAAAATGGGTTTTTATATAAAATAAATGTGCTTTACAAATCATTAAAAATTCTTTGTTTTCTAGAGTTTCCTATTTGGGGGCATGGTATCACATCACAACCGGATTGGGGAGGTGATGATCAGGCAGAACCTGGTATGTTACTAGGGGTGTCTGCCAACCCACATCTCCCAGATCTCCACATAGCTAAGAATCTCCAAGAGTTTAAAGATGGTGAAGTCTAGGGAAACACCCCAGAGAATCAAATCATAACGCCTGTGGGTGGGATGTGATTCTGCCTCCTAAGGCTTGAAATTCTCCAATGATTCTACCGTGCCGACGGACCTGAGACCATTAGTCTGATCTGCAAATACAAGAACTGTAAGTACTCTTCTGTTACACGTTTTCTTCAGATTTAGGTCCCACGGTCCCAGAAATCCTAATGCTGGGAGGCTTTGGTTAAGCTGCTTGTCTGTGAGTGTCTCCTCAAGTTGTAAAAATGTGGATCATAATATTTAGTCTACCACTTTGAAAAAGTATTGTGAAGGCCCATTAGCATAATGTGTATGAAGGGGCTTTAGCAATCATGGAGTATTTCTCAAATGAACAGCCCATTGGCAGAAGTCACCCGGCTGTGCTTCACATATGCTTGGCTGCTAATAAGGAAACTGGTTACTGTTCTGCAGTCATCTATGTAAGCAAACCCTAAGAACTCAGGAAAGAAAGGGGAGGGAAGATAGGAGAGAAGAGGCAGGGAGGAACATAGCTGAGTGATACAATGATTGTCTAACAGGCTCAAGGCCCAGGAGTAGATTCCTAACACTACAAACAAACAAAAACCAACTACTAGTTTAAAAAAATCAAAATATAAAATACTATTGCAAAATATACAAACCAAAGTTTCAGGAGGGGTGAAGAGGTAGTTCAGTAGGAAGGATAGCCTGCCTAGTATAGAAGAGGCTCTAGGTTTAATCCCTAGCACTCCATAAACTGGGTATGAGGTACACACATCTGCAGGCAAGTCTATGGATGAGACCAGAAGGCCAGAAGTTCAAGATCACCCGCAGCTATTTAGGTAGTTAAGGCTAGCCTGGGCTAGACACCTTGTCTCAGGGGAAGAACAAATCAGGTCATCTCATCCTCAGAGTGATGTGAAAGAGATGGAGATAAAAGGTATTCCCCACAGTCTCCCTGGAATGAGGAACTGTGATGTGATCTCGACAGTGTGCAAAGCTCTACAGTAACTAGGGAACAAGCAGAAACATCAGCGCTTCACAGGTCCAGGTTGGTTCTACATCTAAGGCAGAGCTAGTTTAGCTACTAACCATATTGTTTGGGTACCCTTTCATTCTGGAAGCTGGGAACTGACGGAAAGAGAAAAGGCGGCAGTGAATCAGCCTCGTTCTGGAAGGTGGCAACAGCAGAGGAAGCTAGCGCACTGGCGTGCTCAGAGAATGTATCCAACACATGCACATTCACATAGCCAGCCATGAGAAACCGTACCAGCTCAATCTTTCTTTCATGGTCTGAAGGCCGACAGGGATGGGAAATATAGAGGGAGGAGAGTGAGCACAGGGCGGGGGTGGGGATTTGGTACATGGGCAGTAAGGAAAAAGAACAAAAATAAAGAAAAGTGAAAACAAGCTAAATGAAGAGAAACAAATTCTGGTATTCTATTGTATAATAGGGTATCTGTTATCAATTACAAAGTACTACAAGGAAAAAATTTGAATATATGAACTACAAACAAATGAGACGTGCTTAAGACATGGATGTGCTAGGTATACTGATATGTGTGTGTGTGTTCCTCAAAGTATATAGTTACAAACACATCATCCTATATCATAGCTATGTACAATTATGTGTCAATCAAAACTGAAAGTCCCACCAACAAAACTGAACATGCAGAGTAAATGTAATATGCAAAGCAATGTTATGACTGACAGAAGGAGTCAGATATGAAGCACAGGGAGTTGAGGACGAGGGGGAGGGGAGACAATTCAGGTCTGAGTGAGAAGAGCAGAGAGACGGAGCCTCATTGTTTCTGACTTCTCATCAGGAGCCAAGCATTCCTGCTCCTGTTAGAAATACCAAGAGGGATGGGACACAAGGGCACAGAGAGGAGTCCAGTGTGATTCCTGTCTGGCAACTGTTCAAGACAGATGTGTGCACACGAGAGAGCATAGCTGCTGCTCACCTGGTTTGGAGAGTGGCATGGGAGGGGGGAAGAATCTTCGAGATGGCTGAGGTGGACTGCAAAGAGAGGAGGAAAGCATCCTTAGGACTAAAGACAGCTAAGTGTCAACGATAATAGCATGCTTAAATCTTTTGTTTTTGCCAGGCTTGCCTCGAACTCACAGAGATCTGTCTGCCTCTGCCTCCCTCCAGGGCTGGAATCACAGGCATGCACCATCACCCCCAGCATTCCACTGCTTAAGTTTCCTTAAGGAAAGGGACACTCAACACACTCCCACAAAAAGACCAACAGTTTCTGATAAAAACCGCCCTGTAAATTTCAACTAGCATTGCCACTGCCACCAATAAAAGGTCATGTCATTGCCAGGTATGGTGGCTCACACCTTTAATCCCAGCACTCACGCAGAGGCAGAGGCAGGGATCTCTAAGTTTGAGGACAGCCTGGTCTTCCAGAGTTAGTTGCAGGACAGCCTGGGCTACATAAAGAGATGCTGTCTCAAAAACAAACAGAAGTTACGTCACTGGTCTCACTAGCCGCAATGACTCCACTTTGAGTTTCTGCTTCATGAAGACAGGCTGTCAGAAACGACTTCATGCACACTCCTGCTCTACCCTGCTGACTTCCTTCTCTAGGAAACTTTTCTTCTTATAACAACAAAAAAAAGGTGCTCAGTGTCATCTGGACAGAATTCAGCTTGCTGTACATCAAGTCAACTTAGTGATTAGGTTAGCTACAAAATGTAGTGACAACTCTTCTGTATCCCTCAAGAGTTCTTTTCTAGGAAGCAAGAACTAAAAACCAGCAACAAGTCTTTGCCCGTCTCCCTCAGACCTGGTAAGATCTTGTCCTTGCAGATGAAGTGGGTGCTGCTGGTAATGCCCAAAGACCTCAAATACGATGGGCTTGGTTTTGATGTAATCCACAAACGACTCGGTGACCTCCACTGCAATCTAGGAAGAGGAATGTTAGGTGAGGTCAGGGTAAGGTTACGACAGGCACAGGAACATGTGTGCTTCCTGCAGCCTCTGCATGGTCAACATCCTGGACGTGCTGGGCATTTCACTACACCAGACAGGTTTTCCTCTGCTCCTCATTCTAATGAGACTTTACCAAGCCTCAGCACTCTAGACTCTCCACAGCGCAGCAGAATTGGCCTTACTTGCTGCTGCTCATTGTTTCAAGACTTGCCTGTTGCTCTCTCTACCTGCTTATCCGAGGACTGGCCAGGAATCTGCTACAGAGGCCTTCCCTCCATAGCCCAGGTGACTGGTAGGCTGCGGCCTATGAGTAAAGGCAACGCCAAGTCTGACACAGCCGTTTCTGTTGCCTTTTATTTATGCTACCTCTCTCTCTCCCTTCTCGCCCTACATAACCATTCTCCCTCATAAAAAAGTAACTTACCATCTTCCCGTATGGAAACTGTCCTCTTTTGAATTTACGGACTCACTCTCACGTCCCCACACTCTATCTACAGTTCCCCTCATTAGTTCTAAGCTCCTTGGGGACTTCTGTGGTTTTATGAGTCAGAGGCTTGTTAAACAGCACTCATCAAATACATATTTTATTTTTAATTATAGGTATGTGCGTATGTGTATGTTTGGGATGTGTGCATGTTGAGTATGTGAATGTCCTCACAGGCCAGAAGAGGGTTTGGATCCCTTGCAACTGGAGTTCTAGGCAGTTGTGAGCCAGCAGATACGGGATGGGAACCCAACTCAGGTCTTTAGGGGCAGTACATACTCAACCACAGAGCCATCTCTCTAGCCTCAAAGTTCACACTTTATTTTTCATTTTATTTTGATTGTCCCTTCCTCTCTGACTTCCTATATTTGCAATTTTTGTTTTTGTTGGAGTTTAAACCTAGGACCTCGTGCAAATGAGGTGAGCACTCTACCAATGGCTACACCACAGCCTGGCCTCTCTCTCACTTTATATGCATGATGAACAAAACAGAAAGGCAGTTCTGAGCCAGCAGCGGGGATTCTCTAGAACCACTTCATTGTGTTTAAACCCTAGCCTGCCTCTTCCCAGCTCTGTCACTGGGTGAGTCAGTCCCGACTGTACACAGGGATCATAATAGTCTATGGTGGGCAAGTGAGGATTGGACGGCACAGAAAACAGAACAGGGACAATACAAAATAAGTTCTCAATAAACACTAGAATTGTGATGGCGATGACTTTGGTTTTATGCCTAATTGACTTACTTGTGTGCGCACAGTGCTTGCGCTATGGCACATATGTGGGAATGAGAAGACAGCTCATGGGCAACAGTTCTCTCCTTCCACTGCCTGGGTCCTAAGGATTAAACTCAGGTCCCAGGCTTGTCAGGAAGGACTTATAGCAGCTGAGCCATCTCCCCACTCCCCTGAAGATGACTTTTGAACGGAGTTTGATGAAATTCCTTATACAAGTTGGAAAGTCTACTTCCTTGCATCATGCATTCAGAGAGTTGTAGGGGATTTTAACAGTTAAATCACAGATAACAGGGAAAGGCTCAAATCTTAACTTAGTTACAGAAGGTATTTATACTTCTACAGCACTTGTAAGCAATATTAAATATCTTAGAGTTTACAGGATACTATGTTACTTATCAAAACTGATGGTAAACATGCTTCTTTTTTTCTAAGATACAAACATTTCTTAAAAATTCATATTCAAACTGATGAAATTCAATGGGCCCCTATAATTTGGTAAGAGCCTGTCTGCTCTTCCTCTGAAGACTACCTTACTGCCGTGGCCACCATCTCTACTGTTCACTCTCTCTGCAAAGCTCCCCAATCTACACACAGGACAGCTCACACCTCACGTGATCAACCTCCCTTAGCCAACAATATCAGCGTGCATAAACCTGAGAGACATGTGGCAAAATGTTCAGGTGACTCACATTCTGTACATGGTAAAAGCCCAGGGGACTTCCTCTTCCATTGTTCTTGAGGGGTTCAGTGGAGAATGCTTCATCATGCCGATGCAAAAAGCTTAATAAAAAGACAGACAGATGAATACTGTATCAAAATTTAGCGAAATCTAGTTTTTTGTTTTTGTTTTTTTTGAGAGAGTCTCATTATGAAGCCCAAGCTGGCCCAAACTCAGAGATCTGTCTGCTTCTGTCTCCAACTGTTAGAGTATACCGTGTGTGCTACTGTATCTAGCAGAATCTGTTTTAAGAGCTCACTTTGGACTCTAAAGGTAGAAGCATACTAACAAAGCACATTTTTTGTTTGTTTGTTATTATTGTAGCAAATGATAATCTCTTTGTCAGTATTTTCCATACCACATGGATAATATTTCAGATTCAAAACTGGTTGAAAAATTAAATCACCCTGATTATTTATGTAAGTGAAGACATACACAAGCATGCCTTACAGAGAGTGAAGAAGTCAAGTTAACACATCTGTAGCAGGATGTAGTGGTGCATGACTATAATACGGGCACTCAGGAAGGAGAGATGGGAGAACTGCAGAGCTCAAGGCCTCCGAGGGCTGCATAGCAGTTCCAGGCAGCCAGGGATACACAGAGAATTCCTGTCTTAAAACAAGCCAACTAATCCCCAGCCCAAAACCCAAATGAACAAACCTATGGGCCAACCTAAAAAACAAATAAAAAAAATCTACCCCTCAAACCCAAGAAACAACAAACCTACCCCCAAAACCTAAAAAATAAATGAACATACCTACTCCACCAAGACCCCCAAATCAAGCAAACCCACCCACATCCCCCGAAAAAAAATTAACAAAGAATAAAGTCTTGTTCTTTCATAGGTTTTGTTTGTTTGTTTTGCTGAAAATGAAATCCTGTTTTATATATAGAAGACTTGGAAATCTAAGCCTCTGTAAGGACAGTAAAACTGCCCATGGTAGACTGTAAGGACAGTAAAACTGCCCATGGTAGACTGTAAGGACAGTAAAACTGCCCATGGTAGACTGTAAGGACAGTAAAACTGCCCATGGTAGACTGCAAGGACAGTAAAACTGCCCATGGTAGACTGTAAGGACAGTAAAACTGCCCATGGTAGACTGTAAGGACAGTAAAACTGTCCATGGTAGACTGTAAGGACAGTAAAACTGCCCATGGTAGACTGGGCTAGGAGTCTACTATCTAGACAAGAGATGCTCAAAGCCATCTTTGAGGAAGTGTCCTGACATAACCCTCATGGCTCTGTGTTCCGATGGCAGCAGGGAACTACTTCTCCTCAAAAGTGACAGAGATGTACTGTGTGCAGCAGACAGCAAGTGCTCACCCATGGGGCTTGACACACAGATGATACTCTAAAAGGCCAAAATGGCGAAAAGAAGAATATATATATTTTTAAAAAAGTGTTTATGTTTAAGTGTGTGAGTGATTTGCTTGCATGTATGCATATGCACCACATGTATGCATATGCACCACATGTATGCCTGGTGCCTACAGTGGTCACAAGAGGTGGAGTTAGGAATGGTTGTGAAGAACTCTGTGGCTGCTGAGATCTGAACCTGGGTCTTCTCCAAGAGCAGCAAGTGCTCTTAACCACTGAGCCAGACTCCAGTCCCCAAAGCGGGGAAAACGTTTTGAATAGCAGGAAAATATCAGTAGCTTGCTCTTGATTCTCACATCAGTTCACCAGGTCTGAGGCTAACAGCACCTCTCCCCAGTTCTCCACATCACTGGTGATTTGTACAGTTGACACTCTGCATTCCAGGCTTATGCAATATATTTTTTGAACTCTTTTTAAAAAAAATACACACATTTAAAACTGTTTATTTTATGCATATTATTTTACTGTATGTACATTGGTAAACCACAACATGCATATTCATTTGTGCCCACAGAGGCCAGAAGAGGGCCTCAGAGTCTCTGGAACTGTGTTACAAACGGCTGTGTACCCCTACATAAGTGCCTAGGAATTGGACCAGGTCCTTTGGAAAGGCAGCTAGTGTTCTTAATGACTGTGCCTTTCCTCCAGTCCCATAGGCAGTATGTTTTCTTTCTTTTCACTATGCCTGTCCTTTCCTTCCCTTCTTGTTCCACCACCCCCCGCTCTAGATTTTCCTCTCCATGCCTTATATACTACGTCTGCCAGAGGCGCCCGAGAGCACTAGTGGGCCTGAACCACCATCTCAGTAGCACTGATAACCTCCTCTTTAATGAGCCAGAACATCCATCCCTACCCGCATCTCCTCTGCATACTTCATACAGTGACTGCTTTTCTTTACATTATATCAATTTCCTTTTTTCAAAGTGCTAAACATGTAAAACTGCTGGGTAGACAATTTGTTTAACTGTTGTTTTTTTAAGAAGACATTTCAGCATGAAAGTAGCAGGCTTCTCTGATCAGACACTGTTCCTGGAATACGGGGACAGCATGGAGTGCTCTAGCCAGATATGGTTGGATCATGGGACCCTGACTCACTCTCTCATAGGGTTTGACTATTATTCTCATCTTGAGTGACAAAAGTGGTCTTTCGGGGACTTGTCATGTTTTATTTCTCAAGAGCTTTAATCATTCGCATGTGTAAAGTACTCTACAAAAAAAGGACATCTCTGCAGTTAACAACTTCTAGATGGGTACAGTGAAAGGGCAGTGTGGGTTTTTGAATGAGAAACGTCCCCATACATGGACACTTGGGCCCCAGTTGTAGCTGCTTGGTTGATTATGGAGGAGGACAGCCGTGCTGGGGAGGCACACTGCAGTGGGCAGACTCTAAGGGTTTATAGCCCCACTCTACTTCCTGTTCTTTCTCTCTGCTTCCTGTGTGTGAGTGAAAATGAGATCAGCCAGCCTCCTACTCAGGCTGCCTTCTTCTCTGCCCCTCTGAACTCACAGCCTAAATTAACCCTTTCTTCTCTAGGCTGCTTTTTGTCAGGGTGTTCTATCACTGCAACAGAGAAGTAAGTAACACAGGTAGCTTACTTGAACTGACAAAAGATGTCTGCATACTCTGGAAGGATCCCACTGGCCTGGAGCACAGTGACTCGGAAAGTGAAGGCACTGCCCAGTTTCAGGTGGTTACCAATCTCTTCAGAAAATCCTTCCATCACCATCTTCCCATCCAACAAAGTGCCTGACTTCAAATCTGAAGAGTTAAACAACACACATGGTTCAAGTATTATAAAAGAGAGGGAGTGGGGCATTCTTCCTTTTTCTCGTCCACTAAAGCCATTATGTTGCTTGTCTGTGTACTCAATGCTTTCCCAATGAGAATCTCCTCAGTGACAGTCATCTGTCTACGCACCCAAGTCATTCATCCGATTGACTTCTTCTGGAGGACTGATGACTTCAGAACTCTGGCCCTGACCTTCCACAATTCTCAGCTCCTCCAAGGACAGACCAGAACGAGTCATTGCAGCTGAGGAGAAGTCACTCTGAAAGTAAGCGAGGCGAGGTAAGGGACACACTCTCCCAGTTCCTAACTGACTTTTGTTTGTACAACAAACTATTTTTGCAAAAATAATAATCTGTCTGAGAAAAGGCAACGTGCTCGTGCATTTTCGTCTTTGTAGCTGTTAGACACATCCCATAGTTCACTGGGTAACGGTGGTGTAGACAACACCTTAGAATTGCTAGAGATTTCGACCACAGAACTGGTGCCGGCATTGGACACTTCGCTCATCAGTCCATTTACTTCCTTCTCTCTCCTCGAGGTGTCTACTCCTTCTTTCCCGAATACTTCTTACCTGATTAAAGTATTCATTATCAAAAGATATTTTAGCCGTTCCCGACTGTCGAATTCCAGAGCCGTAATCAGGAGCTTCTTCATCAGCTAAAAGAAAGCAAGCCAGCAAGGACTGAATGGAAGCACACGTGGGAAGAGGGAAGGGTCTGAGGAGCTCAGCCTGGCTTCACACAACACAACCCACTACGCCAGTCTAAAGTGCACATCTCTTCTACAAAGGCAATCCAAGAGTTATTTATGCTACATGCCAACTTCCCCAAAACAGCAATATTCCAGACTAAAGTGACATCGTGATACTTGAGAGCTGGGATGGGGTGGGGTAAAGTTAACAGAAAGGAAGCTAATGGAGGCCTTCCCCAAGTTGAACAAACACACTGCCACTTATGTATGTGACCAAAGTGTCATCTGCATCAAGAAGCTAGCCTGCTTTTTATATGATTTCTTTTTTTTAATTTTATTTTATGTGCATTGGTGTTTTGCCTCATATGTATCTGTGTTAGAGCTCCTGGAAATGGAGTTACAGACACTTGTAAGCTGCCATGTAGGTGCTGGGAACTGAACCTGTGTCTTCTGGAAGAGCAGCCAGTGCTCTAAACTGCTGAGCCGTCTCTCCAGCCCCAGCCTGCTTTTTCTATTGGAAAGAATCCACAGCTCTCATTTAGAAAAGGCCATCGTTTTCTAACTCACCTGCAATGGCCTGCACAGCCACACGAAGAAATCCCCGCACTTCCCCCTTCTCACTGACAACGGCCACCCTGTGAATCAGGGGCACCGGATACAGCAGGTTGCTCAAATACACAAATGCCCTGTAGACAGAAACCCAGAGACAAACATCAGAACATCTGAGGAAGGAGATGCTGAGGGCTTTCTACCTCCCCAAACTCAGCTGGCTTCTGGGCCTTTTAAGGTCACCTCTGACTTCTGATCTCTTGAATTGCTTCCAGGGGTGTTCTCAGTACATAATCAATACATAAGCTAGTGCAAAAGCATGGCAAAGGCGCTGACAAAGACCAACGTACACCAAATTACCCTATAAAAAATTGCACCATGGGAAGAAGAGCAACAATTGGAAGTAAACATGCAGGCACCGTGACTGCTGCAAGGAGAGAGGAGCCCACTGAAGAGCGCAATCTTCAGAAGGAAGGATGCACCAAGAGGTCCGCCTTCTCTCCATACACAGAACAGAAACTGAGAGATAAGGGCAGGGAAAGATGAGTGAAGTAGTTACTAGCTCTAAAATGGATTGTACCTGCCAGCACTATGAGTCTTCTTTAACTTAAAGGACTATTAAAAAGGACTATTAAAAAGGTGTGAGAAGCAGCCATGTAGGCAGAGAGGCTATGGAGCCAGATGTTTCTGAGAATGAGCTTGCTGGAGCCTGAATGGGAATTAAGATAAGTCCTAGGAGGACTCAGCTGGCCCCTGTGGAGTTGGCCTTTGATCCTCAAACCAAAATCACAAACAAAAGGCAATTTACAGGTCTCTCTTGCCTACTTTTATTTCCTTCTCTGGGGCCCTGGGGGGAGAGACTCAGTCTCACAGTCTCACACTTACCTATGTAAGTCCTCACATTCAACTACAGCCCCAGCCCTTCTATTGAGACAGGGTCTCACTAAATTACTCAGGCTGGCTTTGAATTCATTCTGTAGCTTAGGCAAGCTTTAAAATTCTCAATCCTTCTGTTTCAACTTTCCAAGTAACCGAGATTACAGGCCTGAGCTACCAGACCTGGCTGGCACTTGATAATTTCTAACAAACTAGACAAGTCCTACCATGTTTGTGCTTTTAAAATGTGATTTTGTGTTTGTGTATGTGTGCATGTGTCTGCCTCTGTGCGCGCTCATGCATATGACATGCCCACAGAGTGTGGAAGATGGAAGACAACCGTGGAAAGGTCTGTGCTCTTTCCTCTATGTAAGTTGCATGGACCAACATCAGGTAGTTGGGTGTGGTAGTGAATGCCTTCACCGCTGAGCCCTCTCACCTGTCTTATTCATTTGTTTTAAAGCAGTTGGAACTAGTAGTCACAAATCTTAAGACCTGTCAATCCAATGACAGAAATGTGGAATCTAATTCCTACAGTTCCCCGGCTTCTCACTTGGTATATGCTGATCTTTGTACATAAAACAAAAGGCAAAGAGTAACCGCCACAGCAGGGATTAAACATGACTGACTGACACACAGGGCTGTTTGCTGCGCTCCTGTCCTAACACTGACTCACGTTACAAGGAGAGAAGAGAGACGGGGTAAACACCTGGGATTTCAACTCTAAACAATAGCAATTACAAAAATAGGAAAAATACATCACAGTAACAACATTTAAGGACAGAAATGAAGTATGAATGAAAAGCAAACAAAAATAGCTGCAAATGAACAGGAAATAGTATCACGGTGTCTAATTCCCTTTCAGTCTGCTCCAAAGCAAGGGAGGGAGTATTACCACAGAGGGTTAAACTTTTGTTGAACAGAAACTTATAAATGAAATGTAATCTAAAAAGGATTACAAACAGGGTCAAACACCACTACTGTGGCGGAGTTTAAAAACTAAGAATTTAGCATATGGAACCAAATGATTTCACTTCCACAGTCAGCACACACACAGAGCACACTCCTGCTTTGACATCCAGTCAGAGCCGCCACTTTCAGTGACTGGACCATTAGGAGCCCTGGCATGCCTCCTCCTGTAGTCCTCTTTGCACTGATGCTTCGCCCATGCTTTGATCTCCCTGGAGATGCTACTTTACCACAGGTCCTCCCAACACTCTGACACATACCATTCTTTTTTCATAGTGGTTACAATTGGCACTTATGTGATTATTACTTGGTATCCTCATCACTCACCAGACTATAAGACTGTGAGGATGGTAACTATCTCTGGTTTTGCTCACCCATCTGTAGAGGGTGTGGCTTACAGTAAATATACTCAATAAATATCTGTTAAATGAATATCTATGTATATTGGAAACCAGGAATGTGACCTGTTACCTGTCCTTTATCTTTACACAGAAGTAGAAGGCTTTTCAGAAAATAGGTCCTACCAGGGACAGAAAAGCAAGTCATCTAACTTTACACTAGGATGACTTTTCAAGAGCAAAGTCATGGTGGGAATTAACTACACAGAGCACTTAGCATTTCTGTCATTACTTAATTTTACTATGTTAAGTATAATTATTAGAAAAAATAAAACCACTGCTGTGCCTGTGTTCTGTAGAAAGGACCGTGACAGGTTAGGCATGTGCTGCACTGCCAAGCAGTGCCATCAGCCCAAGAAGTACTAGTTTTTAAAAACATATGTCCACAAGCATGGCATCATAAACACGATGCTGGATTGCACATTAAAGGTGAGAATCCTTGCTACTCATGGGAAAGGCTTTCCCATTCACAGCAGCACTGAAACCATTACTGGACACTTCCAGTTTTAGGAAAGAGTGCATCACAGGCAGAGGCCCTGGCCTGTGCTACATGGATGCACTCACTAGACAGTTCTTTGTCATGTTATCAGAACACAGCCTTTAGCCCAACGCAGTATACAGGGTCTCCTGCGAAGCTTTTACACTAGTGTCATGATTCACTCTGGAATGAACGTCCTTATACTTTGACCTAGCAGACTGAAGGAGAACAGGGATGAGAGGGAGAGGATGTAAAAGACACATTAGCAGAAAATGATGTGAAGTTACATCAGTAAGAAAAACTAATCTGTCAACATAAAGAAAGTCAGCATAATTATAGTGGTACTTGCAGAAAAGAGGTCAGATTAAGTTACTTGAGAAAGGTCACAGACTGATCATCTTTTGCCCCCTTTGGCCCAGAAGACTAACATACATTTTACATTTCATCCCAAGTTATGATGATGGTTCATAACATCCCAACATGCCGTAAGAGAATAGCTAAAGGGACAAGCTCTTTTACTCTTGACACAAAGATTCACCAGAGGCAGCCATGGCCAAGAAGCAAACCTATAAATGGAATTCAAAGGAAACATGCAAATTTTTACAAGTGAATTAGATTTATAGTTATGTGCCAATAGGGAACTCTGATACCGGGAATTATACAGACGGGAGAGTTACCCTCTCACACAGCCTATCACTACTGCACAACTGAATGACGATGTTCTTCCGGAGAAATATGGCCGAGGGCAAAAATGGAGACCTCTTCTTCCCTTTGCTGGCTGCTAGTACTTCACCTTCTCCCAGCAACTTTTTGTCTGGTGAGAGGACTTGAACCCAGGAATTCACCAATGAATTCTCCCCAGCCACATCACCAAAACCTCAAGTTCCTTTTTGCAAGACAGTGTTAGTTCTAGAACCCAGAAATCCAAACAAATAGAAACATCAACTTCTGAGGCTGTAGCTCTGTAAAAGTACACACCTTACTCAACCCAGTGAATGTGCCCACTAGGGAGGATTCTGTCCTAACACTCTCATAAAGCTGACTCACGATGCAAAGACGCAAAGGCTGCTAAGCTGAAGGGCTTTGTTTTGTTTTGTTTTGTTTTGTTTTGATACAGGGTCTTGCTGTGTAGCTCTGGTTCTTCTGGAACTCACCATGTTGAACAGGGATCTGCCTGACTTTGCCATGTGTCACTATGCCTGGTCCTAAGCAGAAGTATTAATACCTAGTATGGATAATAGAGTAAAAATGATGAAGGGAAAAAGGATTTTTTAAGGCACTTTTCCCCTAACTCATTTAAGTTGGTTGTCCTGAGTTAGTGACAGAGACGCTTAGGACCCACTGTGTCAGAATTCTCTTGAGCAGGCCACATAAGATGACACTGTCTACTCCTCAGTGTGACGCTGTACAACACAGGAGACAGATTCAGGAGCAAAGTGACTAAGCCAATGATCAAAATGTGGTTCTACCTGCCAGTCTTAGAAGAGAATGGAAATATACCGAGGGACACAGAAATCCAGAAAATGAAGCATCATTTGTACATACTTTTCTTAATTTTAATATAAATAAATTGACTTCTCTAAAATCCTAACACTGGCAATACACCACAAGCAAATAATACTTGTGATTATATTATATAGTATCAGCACATTTGTTCATGGAAGATCTGCATTGTAAAACTCTAGACTGCCATATTAACTTAGGTATTCACTGCTATATGAAAGCTTTTCTTTCTGCTCTTCCGGTATCTAGAGTGAGTCCCCCTAGGTGTCCGTTAACATATGACAACTAGGTTTTAGTTCTGTGTCTCTGCTGTGTCAGGAGACTCGCTGCACTGTTGTATTGGTGCTGACCATTCATTCAACAGTGACAGATTCCTTATTTGTAAAAGGGTCCAGGGCATTATGTGGTTCTTATGCATCACTAATCTTAATCCTTCTGTTTTGTTTGTTTGAGACAGGGCATCACGTATCCCAAGCTAGCTGCAAACCAAGTATAACTTGAAGTCAAGTATAACCCTGAACTCCTAATATTCCTACCTCCACCCCAAGTGCTGAGACTGTGGGTGTATACCACCACAGCCAGCTTATGGCAATGTGCATTCTATTATCAAATTTAAAATTACTTTAATCTGAAGAGGAGATGTGGATAATAGAAATATAGGGAACCTATGCATCTCTGACAGAGGCATCTGCACAGCAACAGCCCGAGACAATGACCTCAACATAAAGCAGTTACTCTCAACAAACACTGATGATGGTGATAGCTTTCTGAGATTCATCATAAATCAACAGATTATTTCTGGCAGAAGCCCAAGACAGGCTCAGAACACAGTGAGACGCCATCGTCAACAAAGGAGAGCCCTATTCTTTTGTATCACCAAGTCCACTGCATTCCTTCAGTTTCTCAAGTGTCACAGACACTTCAGCCTGGCCTCGGGCTTGCTCTGCCCCTGCTAGGGTTATCCTTTAGGCTTCCCTAACCACACTCTTTCAGAGACGAAGCATCTGGACCACAGTGACATTAGCTGAAACAACTACCTCTGAGTCTTAGCTAAATTACTGGGCAATTTGGGTCAAGCCATCCTCCAGGAGGTCTTCATAGGCTGCTGCATAGAGTACTAAGTAGACTGTGCCTTGTGGATAAGGCCTGGGCTTTCTAGACAAAATTGCACAGAGGCATTTAGAACAAGAGCTGGTCCCTTTTGGCCTTTCTCACAATGACCTCACCAACCTTCCTACTAAAATGAACCAAGGGGATCGGTCGTAAAATGGGTCATGCCCATCACTGAAGAGCTCTGATCCCTCTTCCGTCCCTGCGTCAGAGCCGGTGTCATCCACGAATGCCTCATCATCAAAGTCCTCCATGGCATCCTGCTGCTCGTCAGCCAGTTCAGTGATGTCGGAATCGGCCGTGGAAAAAGTGGGGGAGGGTGTGCGGTCGGCAAGGCGCTCATTCACACAGCCGTGGAAAATAGGGGAGCTAGACACCAGGTAAGACGCCAATTAACACAGGCAGGGAGAGAGGAATAGTTGGTTAAACAGGATGCTCAGGTGCCAACAGGACAGAATGCACTGACAGAATCATCACAGTAAAAGCAAATAGAAAAGCAAAAGGGTAAAATGAACATAAACTGCACAGCTCAGGTAAAGGGAACAGGGGCAGGCTGACAAGATCTATAAGGAAAGACCCTCAGAATAAGGAAAGCAAAGAGCATCCATGAGTAGACCATCTATCTCAGGGAAATATTACATTATAAAATGTTTATGTTCTCCAGTTCACATACAAGACGAGCACCCTGTCCTCCAGGAGCCACTCATGAGAAAGATAATAAGGCCTTAAGTGTTTGAGTTCTTCTGTCAACTCAGAACAGAAAACCAAATGGATGAAAGTGCTGAATGCCGAAGCAGCACGTGCCTGAGGGAGATGTGTCTGCACAGCCCACTTCTGCAAACCCTAGTCTACTACCAGAGTGGAGTAGAAAAGGTTGACTTCAGTGACACCATTTCATTGGGTTCCTTACATACCATCACAGGGCATTTACAGCAAAGAGTAACTCAAAAGTCTGAAACTAGTAAGCTCAAAGTTCACATTTCCTGGGGCCAGAGGAGTAGGTCAGTGGTTAAAGGCACTGGTTGCTCTTGCAAAAGAACACAGATTTGGTTCCCAGTACCCACAGAATAGCTCACAACCATCTGTAAGTCCAGTTCCAGGGAATTCAGTGCCCTCTTCTGGCCTTGGTGGGTATTAGGCATGCATATGGCACACAGACATATCTGCAGGTAGAACACACCCATCCACATAAAATAAAATAAAATAAAATAAAATCCCTCTTAAACATTCACAACTCCTTGCTTTTGCAATGTTAACGTCTTGAGAACTGAATTGCACATAACTTCTCAGAGGCACATTTGTTTTCACAGAGCGCTGACCATGATGGATGCAGAGACCCTGAAGAGGCCCACCATGGGATGCAGTTAACCTGCCCTGGGCAATGACTAAAGCAAGACAAATTCCTCTAAGAAAAATCACAGAGGACCAGTCAGGTTCTGGGTAACAACTGCAGTATGGTAACACACACTGTGATATCTACTTAAAGCATCCAGGATTCAGAAATGTTTTCTTTTTCTTCTCAATCTTCCTTGATCAACTATGAAGCATGTTGTAAGAAAAAGTCCAGGAAGACTGTCAAATACGCTGACATAAAAAATATGCATACTGTGTGAAACTGAAGTAAATACGTTAAACAACACAGTGGTTTTGAGTGGGTAAGACTTAGAGAGGAGGTGGGTTTCTTGGTTTGTTTGTATTTTTCTTCTAATGCTACTAGGAACTAAACCTGGAACATCGGGGTGAGCTACACCCCAGCCTGAGAGGGAGCTTTTACGTACTCCTTTCCCCTGTATACTTTCTACTGACATTTAAAAAGTTAGAAGTACTTGTTATTCATTTTTAAGGAAACAACAAAACTGTGACATACCTTCCCACAAGTTTGAACCAGTGGAAGCGATCGTAGAATGGGTCACTGCCGGTCATGGTGGTCTCGCTCTCGTCTTGGGCGCTGGAGGCCACCTCCCCTGCCCTGTCATACATCTCTCGCATCAGATCCAGTCTCTGCCTGTTGAGCAACACAGGGTATACCAAGTCAAGGCCGCTCATATCACTTAATGCGACATAAACAGAAACATAGAAACCCAACTCCTCAGTATCCAAAACGTGTGAGTAGAGAAAAGCCACAAAGAGTGAGCAAGATGTAAAGTAAAATGTGTGTGCACACACGGGCATGGGAGGGACGGAGGGAGGGGGGGAGAGGGGGGGGAGGGAGAGAGGGAGGGAGGGGGGAGGGAGGGAGATCTAATTTGATTAAACCTACAGTCATGGAAGAAATGTAGTCCAATGGTGTTTGACATCTCAAATATAACTAGACAGTGAGGAAAACGATCACTTCCTTGTTTATTAAAGATTACCCTGAGGCCCAGAACTAAAGTAAGAGGGATAATTGCCAGGTCCAAAAGAGAAATAAACACAGCTCATTTAAAATTTAAGAGGGCTTATGAAAATGTAAAAATCAAATATCAAAGTTGTCTGAGAAGTGAGTTTCATTGACTTTAGAAAAAAATGAATTGGTAATGCTATTGTTGACTGGTCCCAGCACTTAGAAACCACAGAGAAGGCCGGGCGGTGGTGGCGCACGCCTTTAATCCCAGCACTCGGGAGGCAGAGGCAGGCGGATTTCTGAGTTCGAGGCCAGCCTGGTCTACAGAGTGAGTTCCAGGACAGCCCGGGCTATACAGAGAAACCCTGTCTCGAAAAACCAAAAAAAAAAAAAAAAAAAAAAAAGAAACCACAGAGAAGAAACTAAGTCATCCTCAGAGAGAGCAGAGTATGAGGGAACCCACTGAAGCAATTCACTTGTTGTTGTTGTTTTTGTTTTGTTTTTTGTTTTTGATACAGGGATTTTCTGTGCAGCCCTAGCTGTCCTGGAACTCACTCGATAGACCATGCTAGCCTCTAACTCATAGAGATCCATCTGCCTCTACCTCTTGAGTGCTGGGACTAAAGGCATGTACCACCATGAAAGGCATTTTCTTCTAAAAAGAAATCTTTTATGGATATTTTCCTACTTGAGTTTATCCAAAGACCAGTAATGTGTTGCTCCATTCTTCAGATCCTGGACCTCCACTGCTACCACTGTCCGAGGGAACGGTCTGTCCTCGTGAGTTTTCTCCATCTCCGTGGGAAGTAATTCAGGAGGCAAAGGGGAGTACAGTGTGTCAGTCAGCAGAACAAACTGGAACTGCACCTGGAACGAGAAGGCAAGGATGGACAGGCATTTACAGGACTCTCTCAGCAGGGAAGACTCAGAGACAAGGCAACAGGGCACAGCTGAAGGAAACAAGGTCACAGAGCATGTATTCAATAAATGGCCTGTGACAAGCTGAAAAACTGGCCACCTACATTTTAAACTCAAGAAACAATCTTAATTTTTTTTTTAAAAAAAAATGATTTATTATGTATACAATACTCTGTCTGCATTTATGCCTATTCACCAGAAGGGGGCACAAAATCTCATTACAGATGGTTGTGAGCCACCAAGTGGTTGCAGGGAATTGAACTCAGTACTTCTCGAAGAGCAGCCGATGCTCTTAACAATCTTAAATCGGGTATTTATAGACTTTGTTTTCCTGGGGTGGTGGTGTGTGTGTGTTTGTTTGTTTTTTCCACACACTAAAACCTCAGTGGACAAATGAAGACTCGTGTGGAACACAAACAAAAGACCAAAAGGTGGACCCAGTCACTCGCTGAGGAGAGAGGACACACATGCAGCTTTTCAGTTGCGCGCAGAGGACTACGGCCATCACGCTTCCAGCATTAGCATGGAGTAAGGAAGTGTGACTGCATCATGTCCTTTACTTCTTGCTATGTTACCTTGTACTTTACCAACAAGTAACAGTTAAATACTAATTAAATAACAGGTGCAGAACCAAGAAAAGGGCTTATGACAATGTAACTTTAGTCCACTTAAGGAAGAAAATGGTTAATAATTCAAAGTGTTTCTGAGCTTGTGAGTGAAGACAACACCTCTCCCAGCGTAGAGATGTGAAGCACATCCCCTAGGAGCAGCCAGTGAATTCTCCAGGCAAGTGGTCTGTGTTTTTTCCTACCCTACAATATGGTCCCGAGCAGTTTAGTGAGGCACACAGAACAATCAAAGATTTCCTAAGACTGTTTGGAGGCTGGAGGTTCGGCTCAGTGGGACATGCTTCTTAGGCAGCACAGGCCTTGTGTTCAGTCACCAGCACCAGGTTTAGCATGTCCAGCCCTGTCAGTAGTGTTCTGTACAAACCCATGCTCTTTCATTTCTCATTTCGCTCGGTGGCTGGCAGGTTCTGCTGTCAACCCACATTTGTAGAGGAAGCAACAGAGCTACAGAACTACTAGGTCAGCTCAGCTGCTCTGGATGAGGCTCTTGCTGTCTGAGTGCAGAGTGCACATACTGTCCCTACTCAGTACCTCTCAGGCCCTAGAAGAGGAGCAAATTGGTTGACAAGGGGCTTAGAGTTCTCGGAGGTGCAAGCTAAAGATGGAGAACTAAAAGAAAACCAAAACTCTTTCCCTAGAAACCTAACAAGCATTTATCTATTAATAAGACTATCCAGCTCCCCTTTAAAATACTCACATTTGTAAAATGAGTCAAAAACAGCTGCTGTAAAATGTTTACTTAGGGCCTATGTTGTGGGCACATACAGGAAATAACGCTGATTCGTGGCCTAGAACACGGACTTCCCCAGGGAAAGGTTAATTTAAGGTTATTCATTTAAATGGACCCACTGTGCCTCCAGAATACCTGAGTTGCCTCTCGTCACCCTCCGTACCTTTTTCTTCAGCTCCACACTGATGGCATTGGCTTCCTTCAGGTATACCGCATTGCCCCAGAGTAAGTCCCTTAGTGAAGTAAACTGGTGAGACTTCCATTTCCGAAACGCCCACTGGGCCAACTCAAATTCATGCTGTGTCCAAGGAACTGAAAGAGCAGAGGAAGCATATGTCACAGTGACTTAGTAACCATAAGGAGTGTCCTCTCCCCTACTTCACAAAACCTAAAATCAAAAGAACATAGTTGTGGGTTGTTTGGTTTGTTTGAGACAGGTTAGCTTTGAATATGCTTTGCAGTCGAGACTGGTCTCGAACTCCTCATCCTCCTCAACCTTCCAAGTGCTGTTCTCAGATAGATAGACAGACAGACAGACAGACAGACAGACAGATAGATAGATAGATAGATAGATAGATAGACAGATAGATAGACAGATATCTTATTACAGTTATTTATGTATTGGGGAAAAGGATGTGTAGCACTGCATGTACACAGTGGCTCAAAATACAACTGATAAGAGTCAGTTGTCTTTTTTGACAATGTGGGTTCCATAGATCAAACTTAGGTCACCAGTCTCGGCAACACACACCTTTACCTGATGAGCCATCTCGCCAACCCCCTTTTCCTTTTTTTTTTCCTTCTTAATGTAATTCTGATGTGTAGGTATAAATTTCAAAGTCCCTTATCTTTACTATGAGAGATGATCTTTACGTGACATCCCCAAAGGATTATATGAAGACGGTCCTTGGGAACCTTAGAAATTCTATACACACTAACGACCCTCCACCACTGTATCATATACCCGAGTGCTGCAGCAATGGGCATTTTTAAACCACTTTTGAGCAGGCTCAGTACAGGGTCAGTAAGCAGCAGGGCAGGGCTGAATAACCCAGCTCTGTAACAGGAGAAAGCACTGAGATTGATAATGCTGATCCAGAAGACAAAAGGTAAGGCAGGCTCTAGCTCTCACCTTCCTCCTCCTCCTCTTCCTCTTCCGTTGTCTCTGCAGCCAGAGATCGAGTCTCAACCTGCCTCTGCAAGGCCTGCAATTTACTCTCATAGTCCTGGATGAAAAGAAAGGAGAGAACATGTAGAGAGGGGAGGAAGTAAGAAGGAAGGGGGAAATGAAAGGAACGCTGAGGGGAAGTACACACAGCAAAGGACCAACACGAGGAAACGGGGAGGGCAGGGTCTAACACATCATCAAGAGGAAGAAAACGCCAGGGAAGACTAAAGTCACCAGAACCTCCTATGGCCTGGATCTTCTAACTACTCAAAAGGGAAGATAATTAAGACTATAGATGTTGAAGTTCCTTATGGTTGAAAAATTAAAAGCCCACAGCACCACTGAACTGAAATGATTGTTATTAAGAGAAATTTTATATTAAATATACTAGTATGTGATTCAAGATAAGTATAATAGAAATAAATTTTTTTTTTGAGACAGGATTTCTCTGTGTAACCCTGGCTGTCATGGAACTCTCTCTGTAGAGCAGGCTGGCCTCGAACTCAAGAGATTCACCAAGTGCTGGGATTAAAGATGCATGCCACCAATGTTGGGCTTACAAATCAGATTCTATTTCTCCACTTGATCCATATATTTTCTTTTTAAAGGATTTATTATAATTTTTAAAAGTATGAGGCTCTGTGTGGAACAGTGCATGTGTGGATGCAGAAGGCTGAAGAGGCCAGAATGGGGTGTTGGATCCCACGGAGCTGGAGTTACAGGAAGTTGTGAGCAGCCTCCTGATGTAGGTGCTGAGAACTGAACTCGAGTCCTCTTCAAGAGCAAAATATGCTCTTAGCTGCTGGGCCGTGCTCCATGTGGCCTCCCTTCATCCCTGCTGCATGTATTTTAAGTAGTATTACCTGAAAGGGGCAATGCTTATTGGCTTATTGGATGATGGGGAAAACATTCTTGTTTCTCTTTAAAGTTTTAAATTATTATTATTATTAAATTGGGGGGAGATGAGTATTGGTTCTTTCTTGTTTGTTTGTTTGTTTGTTTGTTTTGTTTTGTGTTTAGAGACAGGGTTTCTCTGTGTAGTCCTGGCTGTCCTGGAACTCACTCTGTAGACCAGGCTGACCTTGAACTCAGAAATCCCCCTGCCTCTGCCTCTCAAGTGCTGGGATTAAAGGCATGCGCCACCACTGCCCGGCTATTGGTTCTAATAATAGTCTAACAATTCCAGAAAACTAAGTCTTTCCTAAACAATAATCTTTTCATCTTTAAAAATTTTAGCATATGATCTTCCTACCAAACAGCTGGAGAACAACCAAAAGATAAACCTTCTAAAAGGCACGTGAAAGCCCTCTTAAGTAGAACATATTAATACAATGCTACTCCTTCTCTGTTACATGCACACACCTTTTTCTTTGTGGGCATGCAGGTGCGCACATACATGTAGAAGCTGGGGGTTGCTGTTGGGTGTCTTCTCTATTGCTCTCTCCACTTTTTCAATTGTAAAATGCTATTTATTTATTCATCTAGTTTATAGTGAGTGTTGGGGGCACTCGTGTGCTGCAGTGAGGCGGAGGCCAAACGACAAGCTGTAGACTCGGTCCTCCCCTTCAACCATGTGGGTTCCCGAGATGGAACTCAGTCAGCAGGCTTGGCAGCAGGTGACGTCACCCGCTGATCCACTTTGCCAGCCCATAATAAAAAGACTTCTAACAAGTCATAACCGATTCAATATATAAATGTTGACTGAGTCTCTTGAGATTCAAACACACATTCTTCTAAAATTTGCATTTTTGAGATAAATAGAAGAGGTTTTTTTAAAAAAATGGCTAAATATTACATGATGTAAAACTAGCATAATCTGCCAGGCGGTGGTGGCGCACACCTTTAATCCCAGCACTTGGGAGGCAGAGGCAGGTGGATTTCTGAGTTCGAGAGTTCGAGGCTAGCCTGGTCTACAGAGTGAGTTCCAGGACAGCCAGGGCTACACAGAGAAACCCTGTCTCGAAAAACCAAAAAAAAAAACCTATGAATTAGGAGATGTATACATAGAAACATTTAGGAGTCAACTATCATGGCATCTCCAATTTTCAAAATAATCAGAAAAAGTAAATAAAGTAACCAGAAGGCTGGTGAGATAGTTCAGGGGTTAAGAGCACTTGGTCTCTTCCAGAGGACCCGGGTTCAGTTCTCAGAACACACACGAGGTGGCTCACAACCATCTGTAATTCCAGAACCAACAATGCCTTCTGGACTTGGCAGGCTCTGCGGAGCACATACACTCATAAAGACACATCACATATTCATAAATTTTAAAAATGAATAAATAAATCTTTAAAAAATTCATTGTAACATTTTTTTCTTTCAGTTTCTCTGTAGTCTAGAAATGTGAGTTGAGTAGTCCTTCAGTATTTTCCCCTTAAAACCTGTTTACGATATGGGATTCTTCCACCAAAAAGAGAAATGCCTGATGTTCCATCTAAAAATTTCCACATACAAAAATCTTTTATCAGGGCTGGAGAGATGGCTCAGCGGTTAAGAACATTGGCAGTGCTTCCAGAGGACCTGAGTTCAATTCCCAGCAACCACATAGTGGCTCACAGCCATCTGTAATGGGATCTGATGCCCTCTTCTTGCATGCAGGTGTACATGCAGATACAACACTCATATACATAAAATAAAGAAATCTTAAAATGCTTTTAAAAAACTTTTTTTTATCTTGGGGATTTCTTCAAGAATAAGTTAGTCAAACTACCACCACCACTCCCCCAAAGTCGCTAAGGTGTGAGGGTAGCTTTCTCTTCATGCACTGGCCAAGCTTCAGTCAGAATAAATGATCTCTCATCATCCTTGGGATGCCGGGAGTGGGGGGGAATCAACCGCCAACTGAATTTTGATCAGAATTTGATAGTTCAAATAACAGCACCTTTTTTTTTTTTAAATTGAAGACTTTTTCCAAACCTGGCTGTTTATGAGCTTCCAAGGATATTATTAGTATGTCATAAGGTGTGTGTGTCTGTGTGTGTGTGTGTGCGTGTGCACGCGTGTACATGGAGGCCAGAAGGTTGGCACTGGCTAGAATTACATGGGATTGTGAGCTATCTCACACACGTGCTAGAAATCCAACCTCAGTTCTCTATGATAGAAGCCATCTACGCCATCTCTCCAACCTCTAGACATACACATTCTGTGTTCCTACTAATAACCTGATGCTGCAGATACAGAGCTTAGTAAGGAAAGATCACGTCGGTGAGGGTAGAGAGATGAAAGATAGTACACATGACACACACACTACATTTTTGTAGAGAGAAGCATTCTGAAGAAAGAAGAGCAAAGCAGAAGACAGACGAGAGATTACCATGGAGAAAAGGAGGAGTGGGGGACACTATCGTGACACTGACAGCAGCCAGGAGAGAGCTGACATGCCCGCTCCCTGAAGCACCTCTTAGGACTTTACAGCACCCTGTGTTTTCTCTCTTGGCCTGTCACACAGTACTGATAAATACCAGTGTGGTTATCTGTCCAGTGGCAGCTTCTCCATAATTTTGAATTTCATAAGTACAGGGACCATACTGCCACTTACCACCCAAGCATCTGGCATGTTTCTCTCTTCCAGCTAGAAACAAACTCAAAAATGACTGTCTTTTAAGTCAGGGACCGGCACACCATGGCCTGGGGGGCTAAATCCAGACCATAGGTGTCTGAATCTAATGACATGGTCAACAAAGCCTGAAGCATCACTAAGGACCAGGAGTATATTTTGGTGGTAGAATACTTGTCTAGCATGTACACAAAGCTCCATCTGATTCTATCCCCAACACCAATTTTAAAACTTGGCTACTATCTGGCTTTTCAGAAAAATGCTTTCCAACCCCAGTTCTCCCTCAACAGTTTTGCCCAAGAGTCAGACATCGCCTAGGTACTTTGCAAATGATCGAGTCTCATGCCAGACCTAGTCAATCATTTATTCTAGGGATGGACCCAGCAGTCTACATTCTCACAAGACTTCTAGGATTCTGTGACAGGACACCCGAGAGTGACTGCTCTGAGTCCTATTAGCGTACAGATTCATGGAAGAACCAACCAAGTGCACAGACAAGATAACAAAAGGTTGCCATTCTTAAGATAGTGTGAGTTTATACAGTGCTTGTCTAGAATGCACAAAGCCCTAGATTCAACCCCCAGCACATTGTAGAGCAGGTGTGGTGGTACATACCTGTCATGCTAGCACCGGGGAGGCGGAGGCAGAAGGAACGTAAGTTCAAAGTCATCTTTAGCTACGCAGGAAGTTCAAAGTCAGAATGGGATACCCGAGACAATATCTCAACACAGTTTTAAATTTTATTTTGAGACATGGCCTCATTATGTAGCTCTGGCTGTCCTGTAACTCACTATGTAGACCAGGCTGGCTTCGAACTTATAGACATACATCACTTCTGCCTCCCAAGTACTGGGAATAAAGACATGTGGCATCCTGCCTGGCTAAAAAAAATAAGTGGGAGTTGACCTAGGATGGGCTGTGCTAGGAAGAATGGCACAGAGGCCGACATTTGGAAGCGATAAGCATGACAGGAAACAAGCCGAAGTCATAAGGAAGTGTAACAGAGGAACAAAAGGCTAGAGGTATCCGCTCTGTGATATTAAGACATGAAATCAGATGTGGGCAAATAGCCACAATATGTAAAGCCTTGTAAACAACGCGACAATTCAGGTTTTGAAGTTTGATGGAAGCCCATGAGGCTGCTGACAGGATACAACTTGGATCTTAGAAAGATGGCTCTGGTTACTGCAGGGACAGTGAACGGCATGAGTCATGAACAGAAGCAAACACTACACACACAGGGGACAGTCTCAGATCGATGTCTGCTCCCCAAGAGGCCAACAATTCTTTTTAGATTTATTTTATGTGTACTTATGATTTGCTAGTATGCATGTATGTGTAGTGTGTGTGTCTGTTTGTATGTGGGTATGTATGGCTACTAGGTGAGAGCTGACGGAGGCATGGTTTAGTGTCGCTAAGATGATAGTTTTGGCAAAATCAAAAGTCAGCGTCCTTAGTTTTCTGGATAGGCAGCTTTTAGCAATAGAAACTCAGCTGGGAAT